CCACAGGTCTTTAAATTATTGAAGGGGAAAGAGGGAGGTTATCTCATACAAACCATAAATACCTTTTCTCCTTTTAGAGCTTTGAACCTTTCTCGTGTTGTTTTCTCTGTTATTTCTTGAAATGTTTGATGCAGAAAAGGATGTGGGGGTTGAAATATAACCCTACTTTATGGCAGGCCCCAAGAAGTATAAATAGCAGTGTCATTGTCCACTTTTCCTAAAATCCACCAACCAACACATCAGTCAGCTAGCATCTCTGGTGTGAGGGCTTGCCACGCCCTTTTCGGGACTTCTCATCCACCTTTGGCATCCACCTGATTCCCCCAACTCTCACCTGCAGCCGTAGCATACACAGCAACCACCCACCAGTTAACTGTCTTGGCAGACGGGCTAAACTAGGTTGAGGATAACTGAGAGGCATCAAACCCAGGTGAGTTAGGGAGATGTCTGCCCCAAGGACGTGAAGGCTTCTGCCTGAAGAATGGGCGGATAAGAGCAGTTTGTTCTGAAGGCCATGGAGGCAGCTGAAGCAGGAGCTGTGGAGCACTGAGAGCTTGGTCAGACATCAAAGATGCCGAAGTCATCCACTGCATCCTGGGCCATCGCTGGCCATCTTGACTCTTGTCTTGTCACTGGACTTGGATGACACTGGAAGAGAGAGTGAGGCTGATGATTTTGTGCAACTCTGCCTCATTTAAATCCAATTCACTTGCAAGTTAAGACATCATCCTGTGATGTCATTGGTCCTCTTTGAAGGATGAACAACTACAACAACAACATTGAGCACTTAAGAACGTCATCCCTGCCTTCAAGGAGCTCACAGTCTAATGGAGAAGACAACGCTATGTACATGAAAGAGATATACTGTGTAAATAGGAAGTCATCTTGGGAAGAAGGCACTGAGGAGGGGCAGGGTGGAGAGAACAGAAAAGGCCAGAAGGTAGGATCTGAGCTGAGAGGTGAGGGGCCTATAGGGGGCCTATAATATGCTGAACACTGTTCAAAAAGCATAGAACCAAATTATTTTGTTATAGAGTATAATAATTGATGGGAAGGACCCAAAAGCACCTAGGAACACCTCTGTTGGAGTATTTCCTCTATTCAAATCTGTGGCTGCTACTGATGCTTCTTTTATCAGAGCCAACCAAATGTTTATGAATTTAAACCAAAAGCAACTAATGAAACAGCATAACAAAATGATAATAGGGTACTGGATCACAAAATAGAGGCACTCTTCAGCATGTATAGTTAGAAGGGGGGGAAGGAAAAGAAGAGGAATAAATATTTATATAGAGCCTACTATGTGCAGGCACTGTACTTAGTGATTTTTTTACAAGTATCAACTCATTTGATCCTCACAGCAATCCTTCAAGGTAGTTGCTATTATAATCCCCGTTTTATAGTTGAGGAAACTAAGGTGAAGTGACTTGTCCAGGATCACACAGCTAATAAATTTCTGAGTCCAGATTTGAATTCAGGTCTTCTTGATTCTAGGCCCAATACCCTATCCACTGAGCCGTCTAGCTGCCTCTGATACACTTAAGAGTATTGGATTTGGAGTGATAGGATCTCAGTTAAAATCTTAGTTCCACCACTGAAAACTTGGGCACCGGACCTCGGTTTCTTTACCTGTAAAACACAGGGATCGGGCTAGATCATCTTTTAGGTGCCTTCTAGTTCTAAGTGTGGGATCCTTTCCCAAATGACTTCTACCTCTCACACAAGTTTCTCAAGAAACCACATTGCCTTCTCAACGCAGGATAAAGATGTATCCATTATTCAGGGAAAGATCCTAGGAAAGCTCATTGTAGATCTAAGAACAGCATCCTGGCTGGGCAATTCTGGCCTCCTGGCATAGGAACCAGATAATCCCTAAGATATTCTTTCCTCCCCTCCACCCCCACCCTGGCTGTCTTAAGAGTAGTTGTCTTGCTGTGGGATACCAGACAATCACCAAAACCCTGTGTCATGGAAACCAGAATTAACAACATAACTACTGTTTCCCCTCCTATCTCTCCTTGATTAAGCATTCCTTCAACCCTTTGTCTCATCCTTTGCAAGCCTCTCCCAGCCCTTTTCGAGCTCTCCCCACTTAGAGCTTCCTTATAATGAGAGCATGGAATCTGTACCCAAACAGACCCTCTCATGCCTAGTCAGTGTCTCTTATGTTCCGAGCCTTGGATCAAAGGATTTAGTGACTTTAGAAAGTATCCAGACTAAATCCCTTATTTTATAAATAAGGAAACTCAGACCCAGATAGATTAAGTGACTTATCCACAGTCACATAACTAATAAGTAAGAGAGCTGGGATATAAATTCAGAACTTCTTTCCCCAAATCTTATACTCCTTTACCTGTGCTAGGAGCTGGGTGCTGAGGTGGAGACAGTTTAGTCAAAACATGGAATGTTCTAGGTGGCACAGTGGATAGAGTGCTGGGCCTAGAGTCAGGAAGACTCATCAGCCTGAGTTCAAATCTGGTCTCAGCCATTTACTAGCTGTGTGACTCTGGGCAAGTCATTTAACCCTATTTGCCTCAGTTTCCTCATCTGTAAAATGAGCTGGAGAAGGAAATGACAAACCGCGCTTGCCAAGAAAACCCCAAATGGGGTCATGAAGAGTTGAACATGACTGAAATGACTGAATAACAACCGCATAATAAGGGTATGACACAAACATACTTGTAATTAATAAAAGTAATACTTCAGTACATTAAAAAGGTTCAGAATCAATATGTGTGTGTATCTGAGAGGAGTAGGGATTGTAATGAAAAGTTAAAACCAATGTCAGTGGGGGGAATGAGGAGGAGGAATCAGGGAGAGCTTCATGGAGGAGGTAGTATTTGACTTGGGCTTTAAAGGCTTGGTGGAAATTTAATAACAACAACAAAAAGGAATTTAATAGATAAAGAGGAGAAAAAGGACAATATTTACATCTCACAATCATTGAGTGTGTAAAGTAAAATATTATGAACTATCTACTAGGACATTGAAATAATATTGTCACAAAGACCATTTCTTTATGATGCTGTGTCTCGTAATGGAAATATACCAAGACTTGGTTTCTCAGAACTATGTATTGGTAGACACCTCCATCTAGACCAGAGATGGTTATATTTCACAGCGACGGGCTGGGCCATTCACCCCATGGTCAACGTGTTGGCAGGACCTTTGATGACTTTGGGTGGAGGAGTTGGAGGAGAATATTTCAAAAACAAATCCTGGTATGGGATCTCAACCACCCAGCGCAGCAATTTCCAAAAACTCACCCTTGGAACCAGTGTTCCCTTTGATACAAAGTATGTGGCCTGTCAGCGTCCTTTCCCTTTGATTAATCCAGGATTACTGTGAATGTGCAGTAATGACAAGGAGGCCAATGAGGAAGGGACCACACAGGGCTTTGACATCAGCGCTTAGCAACAAGAGTGCCAGACTCTCCAAGCTGCCCGCTTACTTCGTCTCAAGCTTTATTTGCTGGGGCTTTTTTTTTTCCTTTCCCTGACAGACTTCTTTCAGATGAGCAAAGCAGAGGACCGTTTTCATTTTTGTTTTTTTTAATTTTCCAGGAGTCTACTTTTCTCTGCAAGAGTCTTGTTGGCATTGTTGAGGTACAGGCTATTTTCCAACTCAAGAAATACAACTAGTAAGGATTCTGTGTTCTAATTATTTGACTGAATTTACAGGTAACTCCTTTGTAATATCTGCCAGGTGTGTCTTTTCCCCTTTATTCTGAGTTTTTCTTTCTACTCTGTTTTCTGAGAAACCTGATGTAACTTGGCTGGAGGGGGATGATCCATCTATAGTGGGGGTGGAATAGGTATTATGATGGCTGTTTTGGAGTAGAGGTTCTCATTTTACAAATCTAGTCAAGTAAATGTGATTCTCCCCCTTGTGTTGCATGCTTGTTTTGGGTGATATCATGTATTACAGGCTAATAACCTGGCCCTGCAACTACCTTAGAAATGGATGTTGATTGAAATCTTTCCTGGGTTTAGTTGACTAGAGCTGTATATTTAATACTTTTCTTCCGCAGAGAACTTGAAAATGGGCAGGTAATTACATATAAGGAAGACAGATCCTTTTTAAAAAAAAAAATGTGTCAACCAATAAATGAGAGTATCTTAGGGAGCCAAATACCAATCTCATGTGTGATGAATAGTTTGTATTATGATATTATGGTAAAATAATAACAAGCTTAGAGTCTAGATGGCACAGGAAATAGACTGCTAGACTTGGAGTCAGCAACGTAAGTTCAAATTCAGCCTTGGACTTGCCAGCTGTGTGATCTGGAAAAATCATTTAATCTCTGCCTCAGTTCCCTCATCTGTAAAATGGGGATGAATAATAATAGCACCCATCTCCCAGGGTGTTTGTGAGGGCAAAATGAAATAATATTTGTAAAGTATTTTGCAAACCTTAAAGTGCTATATAAATTATTTTTGTTATTATTATTATTTCATTTTAAAAAATCAATCCAGATAGACAGATTTTGCTTGGCCTAAATTACTTCTAGAGAAGGAGAGACCACTCCCCTGTGAGCATAGACTGAAAGCTGAAAGAGATTATTTACTCCAACCTCGTCTTTTTGCTGATAAGGAAACTGAGGTCCCGAGAGGAGGAGGGATTTACCCAAGAGTGGCAGAGCTAAGATTCAAACCCAGGTCCTCCAATTCTATACCATTTACTCTTCTCATTACACCATACCATACTTCCTTCTTCATTTCAAACACCCCTCCTAAATTTTGTATTTTGTGATAATTTACTTCTTTCCTACTTTTCTGTGAAGTGACTACAGTAAGTGAAGTGTCAGGCTCCCAGATCCAGCCCTGTGATTTTCTGATGAAAGCTAACTCTCTTGGCTGTGTTTCTTTCAGGTTGACAGTGGAGTGGCCCGGCTGAACCCAGAGAGCTCCTGGCTTAGGTTTCCCCAGATGTTTGCATCCTTGGTCACTGTGCTCTGATCCCGGTCCCCAGCAAGGACCAGCCCTACCCCCTTGGAGGAAATGGCTAAGCAGTCTCAGCAGCAGCAGATGAAAACTTCCTTCCTCTTCATCCAGCTGCAACCCTCCCCTGGCCGAACTCCCGCCCAGTCTCCAGCTTTCACAGCCCAAGCCACAACCACAGCCTCAGCAGCTGCCCAGAGGGGAGCAGTGAAGGAACATGGTTCCCTAAATCCCAGGACAGAGCCCTCAGCAAGCCAAGACCTCTGGTTCAAAGGAGGGGTGGTAGAGACTCCCTCGTGGTGGCTGCCAAATGAGGACTATGGGACAGACCGGGCAGCTGCATTCAGCTGCTTTTTGCTGAAGGAGGAGGAGGAAGAGGAGGAAAAAGCCAAAGATTCAGTCCTAAGGAAGGGTTGCGTGTCTCATTTCTTGCAACACCAGGCTCTGCCTCCTCAGCAATCTGGGCAGCCACAGGCATGGCCGTGTAGCTTTCCTAGTCCGGCTCTCGGGATGAGCAATGGGACCGGTGGCTCTTTCACAAACTGTTCTATCATTTCGGCTCCCCAAGCCCCGTGGAGCATGGATCACCAACCCAGGGCTGCGTTGGGGCCCTCAGTACTCCAGGCAGCTCTGCCGGCTACTTGTAGCAGGACTACAAAGGCAACACAGTGGAGTGTGGATGTTGCTGGAATGCCCTTCACACATCCAGGGCAGCTTCAGGAGGTTCCAGCTAGAAGCCGAGGCTGCTGTCTGATGGACTCAAGGAGTGGTGAAAGAGGAGCCAGTATCCCTGTGTTGGCCACCAGAGCGGAGCAATATAGATACTGCCCCCGGGTGCAGACCAGCAGCGTTTACTGGGCACCACCAGCTGCCCCACGGCTTAAGGTAAGAACTCCTGAAAGCCTCTGTAGCCCAGTCCTTCAGAATACTGAAGAGCCATCCCAGAGACCTGAGCTGGGAGAGGATAGATTGTGGGATCGTAGATTTAGAGATGGAAGGAACGTTAGGAACCATTAAGTCCAGCACACTCATTTTACAGACAAAGAAACAGAGGCCTAGAAAGAATAAGGGAATATGCAAAGTCATACAGCTTGTAAATCTAAAGTAGGATTTGAACTCAGGTCTTCATTACTCCAAACATAATGCTTTATCCAAAGGTCAGATGTTCCTACACGAAAGACATGCCAAGCATCTCTTCCCCTCTGTCATAACTCTCTCTTTAGCTATGGTCATATCTACACCTGTGTGTTAACATAGGTCAGTACTGTACCTGGAGTACCTTCCAATCTTCTCTTGGGATAGGACTAGGGCAAGCCATGACTCAGCCTGGAGGTAGGAACCAATCAGAGATGACACCATGGAGTGGTAAGGAGGTTCCAGAATCTGAAGCCTGCTCCTGTTATATTTCATAAGTCTGTCACTACTGAGCTTCTGGCTTCCTAAGCATGGTAATCTCTGCCACAAATTCCTCCACAATCCAGTGACTCTGATCTCCTGGCTATTCCTCGCTAAACAACCTCTACCTCCTGACTCCAGACATCTCTGGCTGTTCCTCCCGTAGCTGGAATGCTCCCCCTCATCATCTCTGCCTCCTGGCTTCCCTGACTTCCTTCAAGTCCCAGCTAAAATCCCACCTTCTACAGGAAACCTTTCCCAAACCCTCTTAATTCTAGTGCCCTCCCTTTGCTGATTATCTGCAATTTAGTCTGCATATGGCTTATTTGTACAGAGTTGTTTGCATGTTGTCTCTCCCATCAGAATGTGAGCTTCTTGAGGGCAGGGACTGTCTTTTGCCTTTCTTTGTATCCTGAGCGATTAGCACAGTGCCTGGCATATAGTAAGCACTTGGTTAATTTTTGTCAACTGGCTGACTAACTAGCTGTATGACTTTGGATAACTATTTTGATGATAATTCATTTTGATATCACACTTTACAATTTACCTTCTCTAGGTCATAGGTACTCCTTACCTGCAAAATGAGGGTAGAGTGGACCAAAACCTGTTCTTCCTTTAAGATTTTATAGTCTTGCCTCCTAACTCATTTTTAAGCATCTCTTTGTCCATATCTCCTACCCATCACCTTCAATTCCTTCCATGCCTAACCCCTATATTCCAATGTCCTCCTCTAACTCTGAGACTATATATCTCAGGTAAAGACCTGATCAATCCTGAATCGGATGAAGCAAAGGAAAGATGAGACTTCCTAATGCTATGGAAATACCATTATTCTATTTGTTTATATGTATATGTGGGAGAGGGATGGGAGAGTGGATGTGTTTGAGGTTGTAACTGAAGTATATGGGAAACTGATGTCACAGGATCCCTTGGGGAAATTGCAGGAGAAAGGATAAACTGTGCTCTGCTAGGAGCAGGAAGTAGGCTTGGCTTGGTCAGCAGTTTTGCCTAGTTCAGACCTCACTGCTGATTTACCTTCTACTTTCTCCTCCTAGATGCTTCTTTTCTGGTAGAGTAGGTTGCTTGTATTTATATGGTTGAATGAATGGGAACCCCAATCTTGTTTCTAAAGACAGCCTTGACACTTACTAGCTGTGTGATCCTGGGCAAGTCACTTAACCCCAATTGCCTAAAAAAAACAAAACAAAACAAAACAAAAAAACAATAAGGACAACCTTAAGGGGGAAAAAAAGAAACATTTTAGAGTTTCCCCCTTGAGAAATAACTCACATTCCATCCCGGTTGCTGGATCTCTCATTTCCTACAGGGATTTTGGACAAATTGTATATTAACTAGGACAGAGAAGAACTGGTGAGGAGCAGTGGTAGGGGCAGACCCAGTGGTGATTTGTATACTTGGAAACTATTCTAGTGACTGAGAATTCCTCTCTTCCCTTCCTCACCTCTCTTTCTCCCCATTTTCCAACAAAAATCCTCAGAACTACTGTTCTTTCTCCTTTCCTTTTTTCCGTCCTGAGTTTGGCTAGGTAGATAGAGTATCTTAGGGAGTCAATACCGATCACATATCGTATCTAACTCTTCATGACGCCATTTGGGATTTTCTTGGCAAAGATACTAAAGTGACTTGCCATTTCCTTCCCCAGCTCATTTTATAGATGAGGAAACTGAGGCAAACAGGATTAAGTGACTTGCCCAGGGTCACACAGCTAGTAAGTGTCTGAGGTCAGATTTGAACTCAGGAAGATGTGTCTTTGCTCTATCCACCGTGTCACCTAGCTGTCCCATGTACATAGTACATACAGTAAAGTATCTATTTATTTATCTATCTATCTATTCCCTGATTCTAACTTTCATCTCTTCTCTTTTTATAAGACATGACCACTGAACCAATGCCTTATGTATGCATGGAAAACCCAGAATGGTGGTGTAGCTATTTAAGAAGTTCACTCAAAATAAATGGATAAGTTAAAAACATGGCTAAAGGAGGTGCATTTATTTTGAGTGAACTTCTTAAATAGCTATCCCACCCCTGGTCTGGATTGGAGAATTCTAGATACTTTACTTTTACACCATGCTAAATGCTGAATATACATATATATGTGATATATAAGCAAATAAGATAGTCCATGCCTTCAAAGAGCTTATGCTTTAGTGAGGGAAGACAACCTATTAAAGGGAGCTAGAAGGGGTAAGGCTAGTGTGGAGGAGTATGTGTGTGTGTGTGTGTGTGTGTGTGTGTGTGTGTGTGTGTGTGTGTGTGTGTGTGTGTGTTGGAGACACTCGGCATCAGGCTTACAAGCTAGAACAAGAAGCTGGCTAGAATGAGAGGGCCAGTCACACCACTTCTGACCTGGTTTCATTGAAAGCCCCCTACTTGTCCTGTGGGGTTATGGGAAAGAAAGAGGGATTACAGTGGAACATGGATTATTAACCTCTGCGTATGTATCATGGACTCCTTTGGCAGTCTGGTGAAGCCTATGGATGGATGGCCCCTTCTCAGAATAATTGAAAAAATGCTAAATGTCAGTTAAAGGTTAGTGAAAATAAAGATGTAATTTTTTCCCGTCCAAGTTTATAGGACTCCCTGAAATCTATCCATCAACTCCTTGGGAGTCCATGAACCAAAAATTAAGAACCCCTGGAATAGAGGAAATGACAGCAATAGTAGTCCCTTGGCCTTGCTGCCGAGGTATTGTGACTGGCACTAGGTAGGTGTTTCTGCTCTCACACATCTACAAGCTTCCTTGCTTCCCCTAACTCATAAAAAGAATACTTGATTGGGAGTTGGAGACCTGGGTTCTAGTCTCAGCCCTGCCACAGATTTGGCTATATGACCTTTTCATATTTCACTTCCACTGCCTGGGCCTCAGTTTCTTTCTTTGCACAATGAAGAGGTTGGGCTGGATGATCCCTAAGGTAATTTCTAGCCTTTTCTTGGTTTGTTTCCTAGGCTTTGTGTCTCCTACCTCACTGCCACCCATCCCCACTATCCCCCAAGCCCATAATCATTTGGAATGTTGGAGGGCTTAGCAAAATTGCCAGAGAAGTGCTTTTCATCCGCCCAACCTTTGGTACATATTCTGTTAGGCACACAGTGTTATGAGCAAGTTGGGGAAGCAACTTATTGAGACAGGAACTAGTGGATACAGTGAACCACAGTTCATTACCCTGCCCTACAGACTGGGGAGATTAATTTAGGAGCATGATATGCTCTTCTTATTTCATTGTTTTGGAGTTTAGATACATGACTCATAGCAAAATGATAGAAAGGTTGGTGCTTAGAAACTTCTGGTTATGTGTGTAATGAATGAGTGGTGAAGTGCACGATTACCACAGAAGGAATCTCCAAGGGCCTTGCTCTTTAGAATTCATGATGGGTGGTATTTGTTAAGTCACGAATAACCATGAGCAAGAGCATTATTATAGGACAGACAACCCCTGTTCCTGACCCTTTAAGTAATGTGGGACTGACTTCCCCCATGGCAATTTTCTAAGTAGAAAAGTTTGAATCTCACACACCAAAGCTCTGCCTCTCTATGGGCGCCATTATCCAAAATGGTTGATTTTCTGCCTCTTTGTGAGAAAAGCATGGGTAGGAAAGTAAAAACCAGTGATCCACTTCCCTTTGAGGGGCCTAAAGGGCGAATGCAGTGAATGGAGTCCCTATTCCCTTCAGTCATTTTGTGGCAGGGTCCTGGGTGGGTGCTTCTTTCAGGCACAGTTAGGTATTTCCTCATGGCTTGGGGACACAGTGGGCACACTTCTGGGTGTATTTCCTGGGTGATGGTTGGAGAAGGGCTGGGGAAAAGTAGTGGAATTCTGCTTAATAACCTAACATTGCCTAAGTTTAGCCAGTTTGCATTCTGGTGGTAGCCCAACCCAGGCTTTAGAGAACCGTAGAATTCCAGCTTTCCAGAATTCCAGAATTCTAGTGACACGCCATTATAACTTTCTGGATGTTACTCATTTGTTGTTGTTTAGTTGCTTTTCAGTTGTGCCCTACTCTTTGTGACCCCTTTGGGAATTTTCTTGGCAAAGATACTGGAATAGTTTGCCATTTCCTTCTCCAGCTCATTTTATAGATGAGGAAACTGAGGCAGACAGAGTTAAGTGATTTGCCCAGTGTCACCCAACTAGTACGTGTCTGAGGCCAGATTTGAACTCAGGAAGAGAAAACATCCTGATTCCAGGCTAGGCACTCTATCCACTATGCCACCTAGCTGGCTGCCCAGTTTAGTCAGTTCGGATTAGTCTACATATGAAAAGAGCGTGGAACTAGGGGTCAGAAGACTTGTGGGCTAATCTCAACTCTGGCCACTTACTAGCCATGTGACCTTGAGTAAATTATTTAACTTTTCTGAACCTCACTTTCCACATCTGCAAAAAATGTGGTAAAAACTTCCCTGTCTACCCCATGGAGTTATTAAACTCAATTCAATTGAACAAATACTCAACTCTTAATATCCTATG